AAGTGCAGGACTCTGCACTTGTCCTTGTTGAACCTCATCAGATTTCTTTTGGCCCAATCCTCTAATGTGTCTAGGTCCCTCTGTATCCGATCCCTACCCTCCGGCGTATCTACCACTCCTCCCAGTTTAGTGTCATAGCCCTGGCTGCGGGGGGGGGGGGGGAGGAGAAGGGAGCGTAGCACATTGCTCTGACCATGGCAGCGGTAACTGCTGGCTCCTCCCCACAGGTATTATCTCCCGCGCAAGTTCTCCCGTTGCAGCATCGAGGAGTACAGTCAGTTCCTGCAGGAGGGTGGGGGCAGCTGCCTCTTTAACAAACCCTTCAAGGTAACGCCCCCCGGCCAGGCCTGTGGGCTGGACTCCTGCCTGCCCTGGCAGCGCTGCTCTGCCATGGCCCGGGCGGCACAGTCCCGAGAGCTGTTCCCCTTCGCTGGGCGGGGGGGACGTGGGCTCCCTCCCAGCTCCTGGGCCACACGTGTCCACAGCCGAACACGAGCCCCAGGCCAGCTGGCCGAGCAGACAGGCCCAGGTCTGAAAGGGCCCCAGGAGCGGGGTCGCCTTAGGGCAGGGCGGGTGCCTGGGCGGGTGCCACCGAGGCTCCAGAAGCGCTGGCTTGCAGGGTAGGGGCACCCGATTGCTCCTGAGGTGGAAGCCTGCCAAGCCCCCAGCAGACGGGAGCTGGAGTGGAGAGTTCCCCCTTCCTGTATGTGGGGCCAGCGTGGGACCCAGAGCCTGCCGCCTTCGCCTCAGGCAGCAAAGGAGCCAGCTGCTCGTCTCCCAGACTGCATTTCCCGTGCCCGCAGCCCCTTCCCGTTCCAAGGGGCCCTGAGCTCCCGGGGACGAGCCCAGCCCAGCTTCCCGGCACAGGAGAGGCGGGTCCAGGAAGGCCTTGGAAGCACGTCCTGCACCCCAGCTGCCTGGCTCCCTCCTGCCCGGTCACATGGGGAGCCCTGGGCAGGGCGTGAAAGCTGCAGGAACCATCTCCCCCTCTCTCTTCTCCCCTGCAGCTGCTGGACCCCCCTGAGTGCGGCAATGGCTTTGTGCAGGCCGGAGAGGAATGTGACTGCGGCTCGCTTGCGGTGAGGGGCTGCGCAGGAGGGGCGGTGCCTGTTTTCAGTTCCCCCAGTCTGCCCGTGAGCCACTGGGGTGGAGGGCATCGGGGGAGGAGCAGAGTTGTGGGATGGGGACATTGGGGGCTGGGCACTTGCCCCCCACCCTGATCAGGGACCAGGTGTTGTAACGTGGGGCTGAGGGAGAGGTGGGGAGAGGCCGGGGCTGCTGGAGCTGTTACCATGTCTTGGGGTCTGCCCCCACCCCCTGCAGTGCAGCGGGAGCGAAGACACACGTCAAACGCAATGGAGGATTCCCGGAGTCTGGCCCTGCTGCTCCCGTCGGGCTCAGGCACTGGGGAGGCAGGGGCGGGGCAGGTCAGAGTGGGAGGGGGGGGCGGGGCAGGTCAGAGTGGGAGTGCTGGGCCTCGGGGAGGGGGGGATTCGGGAGCAGGCATTGCTGGCTGCTCGGAGGATTTCAGCCTTAACCCCACAGCCCCCAAGCAGGAGGATGGGGTGTCTCACACTGACCACCCCGGGACATTCGCGCCTAGGCACAGGCATCACGGGCATCTGCTTATGTCTCTCCTTGGCAGGAGTGTGCAAAGGGCGGCGGGAACTGCTGCAAGAAATGCACCCTGACCCACAATGCCATGTGCAGCGACGGGCTCTGCTGCAAAGGCTGCCAGGTGAGACTGGCGAGAGGCCCTGACCGGGGCCTACCAGCGGCTAATGCAGACTGCGGGCACTAGAGGGCGACGCAGTCACAGGCGCCTGGGCAGGGCCCTTCCAGCAGAGGGCAGCACCCACCAGGGGCAGGACAGGTTATTAATGAACCATTCATGTGCCAGAGGTACCAACCCAAAGCCAGTCCCTGCCCTGGCCTTCCCACGCAGAGCACAGAGCCTGGGATCCTGGCTCCGCTGCAGGGCGGGGAGGGACAGAGCCAGCCCCCGGGCCCCTCCCTGCACAGGGAGTGAGTCACCAAAGGACCGCCCGGAGGCAGAGCACCAGGAGCCCGGACCCAGGTCACAGCGCTGGGCTGCGATATGGGTCGCCCCCGAGGGGCTGAGTACATGCCCTGGCCGGGACGTGGTGCGGGTGCTGCAGCCAGCCTGGAGGGGGGAGTTCTGCCTCGGGGACTCGGCAGTGCAGATGCTGGACCCCGTCGGTCATGACCTTCGCTCCCGTCTCTTTCAGTACGAGCCGCGGGGCACACCGTGTCGGGAAGCTGTCAATGAGTGCGACATCCCGGAGAGCTGCACTGGGGACTCCAGCCAGGTGAGGGGGGCTGGGGGCAGGGGCGGGAGCTCAGTCAGGACACCCGCCTGGCAGCTCTGCGGTGGCATTGGAGCAAACTGTCTCCAGCGCGTCGGCTGTGCTGCGCCCGGCCCTGCCCCTGGCGGCGCTGCTCCCAGCTGGCCAATGCCAGAGCCCCAATCCTGGCCCTGGAGCAGCCGAGGGGGTGCCTGCTGGGCGGGTGCTGGCTTAGGACTGAGGGGGACTGGTGGGGTGTGCTGTGGTGTGGGGGGCAGAGCTGGGATGGCGGCGGGGCACTGGCAGAGCTGTGTGCAAGCAGGACCCATGGAGACCCCCTTTCTTTCTCTGCAGTGCCCACCCAACCTGCACAAGCTGGACGGCTACTTCTGCGACCACGAGCAGGTAACAGCCCTGCAGAGCGTAGGCATGTCCGCTCGCCCCCGCCCCCACATGGGCTCACCTGTGCCCACTCCCCTGGACATGCTGATTGGCACAGCCTTGCACCAACTCCCCCGACAGGCTGGTTGGCATGGCCCCACACCCCCATGCTCACTTCCCAGACAGGCTGGTTGGCATGGCCCCAAACCCCCTTGCCCATTCCCCCAACAGGCTGGTTGGCACGGCCCCACAGCCTTGTGTCTACTCCCTGGACAGGCTGGTTGGCACAGCCCCAGGCCCATTCCCCCGACAGGCTGGTTGGAACAGCCCCACACCCCCTTTCCCATTCCCCGGAAAGGCTGGTTGGAATGGCCCCTCGCCCACTCCCTGGACAGGCTGGTTGACACGGCCCCACGCCCACTCCCTGGACAGGCTGGTTGGCACGGCCCCA